TGACCGTGAGCCCCAGCAGGATGTAGAGGAAGCTGAAGGCCACGTAGGGCGGCTTCCTCTGCAGCGCCTCATCGTTCTGCAGCGCCACGAAGTCGCCGAAGCCGATGGTGGTGAGCGTGATGAAGCAGTAGTAGTAGGCGTGGAAGAAGGTCCAGCCCTCGAAGTGCGCGAAGGCGGCGGCCCCCAGGGCCAGGGTGGAGGCGCACGCCAGCAGCCCGGCCACCACCATGTTCTCGGTGGACACGCGCGGCCGCCGCAGGCCCAGGCAGCGCTTGGCGGCCAGCAGGAGGCAGCGCACCAGCGCGTTCAGCCGCTCCCCCAAGCTCTGGAAGGTGACCAGCGTCAGGGGAATGCCCAGGAGGGCGTAGAACATGCAGAAGACCTTGCCCGAGTCCGTGCCCGGCGCAGCGTGGCCATACCCTGTGCATGGAGAGCGGGGGTGGGGGGAGGGCTGGTGAGTGCTCTCCCGCAGCCTGCCAGGTGTCCCTCCCTGTCCCCAGAGCCCCGCAGAGCATCCTCAAATTCGAGTCCTAACTGGGTCATCCTCGGTTTTAAAACCTTGCATGGTTACTCATCATCGCCCCAAACTGTAAACAACCCAAATGCCCCTCTGCTGGGGAACTGATAAACAACCTGTGGTGCATTCAAATGTTGGACTTCTTTCCAAGGATGGATCTCAAATGTGCCTTGCTGAGTGGAAGTCAAGCTCGAAAGGCGACGGACTGCCTGGTTCCATTTAAATGGCATTCTGGAATCGGCAAAACTGTGGTGGCAGAGAACCAACAGATCTGTGGTTGCCAGTCTTTCAGGTGGAGGAGGGGCTACTCCAGAAGGGCATGGCAGAATTTTGGGGGTTGATGGAAATGTCTGATTATGGTGGCAGTTATAGGACAGGTATCCAACTGGCAAAACACAGAAGTGTACCCTGAAGAACAGTGCGTTTTACTGTTTGCAAATTGTCTTGTTTTTCTGAGTTAGGGTCTCACTCTGTCACCCAGGATGGAGTGCAGCGGCATGATCATGGCTTACTGCAGCCTTGACCTCCTGGGTTCAGGCAATCCTTCTATCTCAGCCTCCCGAGTAGCTGGAACTACAGGCATGCCACTATGCCTGGCTAATTTTTTTATTTTATTTTTTGTAGAGATGAGGCCTCACTATGTTGTCCAGGCTGGCCTCGAACTCTTGGAATCAAGCGATTCTCTTGCCTTGGCCTCCCAAAATGCTGGGATTACAGGCATGAGCCAGTGCAACCGGCCTGTAAATTATGTCTGATTAAAAAAAAAAAAAAAAAGCAGCCGGGCTTGGTGGCTCACCCTGTAATCCTGCACTTTGGGAGGCTGAGATGAGTGGACTGCCTGAGCCCGCGGGTTCGAGACCTGCCTGGGCAACTTGGCAAGACCTCATCTCTACAATAAATCAAAAAATTGGCCAGGCGTGGTAGTGCATGCCTATAATTCCGGCTACTCAGAAGGCTGAGGCGGAAGGATCGCCGGAGCCCAGCAGGTCGAGGCTGC